CAAGAGGAAGAGGCCAAGTAAAAGGAAAGGGAGAAAAAAAAGGACTAAACATCAATTGTAAGAAGACAGAATGTATGGTTGTCAGCAAGAGGAAGAGGCCAAGTAAAGTAAAAGAAGAGAAGTAAAAAGGACTAAACATCAATTGTAAGAAGACAGAATGTATGGTTGTCAGCAAGAGGAAGAGGCCAAGTAAAAGGAAAGGGAGAAGAAAAGGACTAAATATCAATTGTAAGAAGACAGAATGTATGGTTGTCAGCAAGAGGAAGAGGCCAAGTAAAAGGAAAGGGAGAAGAAAAGGACTAAACATCAATTGTAAGAAGACAGAATATATGGTTGTCAGCAAGAGGAAGAGGCCAAGTAAAGGAAAGGGAGAAGAAAGGACTAAATATCAATTGTAAGAAGACAGAATGTATGGTTGTCAGCAAGAGGAAAAAGCCAAGTAAAGGAAAAGGGAGAAGAAAGGACTAAACATCAATTGTAAGAAGACAGAATGTATGGTTGTCAGCAAGAGGAAGAGGCCAAGTAAAGGTTGGAAAGAGAGAAGAAAGGACTAAAACATCAATTGTAATGGTTGAAGCAACAGAATGTATGGTTGTGGTTGCAAGAGGAAGAGGCCAAGTAAATGTAAAAAAGGTAGAAGAAAGGACTAAACATCAATTGTAAGAAGACAGAATGTATGGTTGTCAGCAAGAGGTAAAAGAGGAAGAAAGGCCAAGTAAAAGGAATGTATGGTTGGAGAAGAAAGGACTAAACATCAATTTGTAAGAAGACAGAATGTATGGTTGTCAGCAAGAGGAAGAGGCCAAGTAAAAAGGAAGGAGAGCAAAGGAGTAAAGGGAGAAGAAAGGACTAAACATCAATTGTAAGAAGACAGAATGTATGGTTGTCAGCAAGAGGAAGAGGCCAAGTAAAGGAAAGGGAGAAGAAAGGACTAAATATCAATTGTAAGAAGACAGAATGTATGGTTGTCAGCAAGAGGAAGAGGCCAAGTAAAAGGAAAGGGAAAGAAAGGACTAAATATCAATTGTAAGAAGACAGAATGTATGGTTGTCAGCAAGAGGAAGAGGCCAAGTAAATGGAAAGGTAGAAGAAAGGACTAAACCTCAATTGTAAGAAGACAGAATGTATGGTTGTCAACAAGAGGAAGAGGACAAGTAAAGGAAAGCAAGAAGAAAGGACTAAACATCAATTGTAAGAAGACAGAATGTATGGTTGTCAGCAAGCAAGTAAAAGGAAAGGGAAAAGAAAGGAAGAGGCCAAGTAAAGGAAAGCGAGAAGAAAGGACTAAACATTAATTATAAGAAGACAGAATATATGGTTGTCAGCAAAAATGGTGAATGAATTACGCTCTTATTTAGAATCTGAATGAGACACATGAAATTCGAAGGACTCAAGGATAATTGACCACTCTCAGGACATATTGAATGCAAGGGGGGCAGCGAAAGCAAAACTTCAATAAAAGTAGATAAACTAGCTTAGAGGCTTATCTCTTTTTTCCTGTTAAGATTGGGTTTTCTTTTTTTTCTGAAATCTACTGCTCCATAAACCACCCGGTTGTCCATTCCCATGCGAATATAACTCTAAACAGTAACCTTCTACCTTGGATGGCTCTTAGGCCTTGTGAAATATTAATAAAATATATCTAGCAAGCTTGTGTATACAAATGGTTATCAGAATTGTGAGTGCCAAGGTAGGGAAAAAGAAAAAAATAACTGATGATGAACTACAAAGGACAGAAGATTGTGGAGAGCCGTGATCGCTCAAGTCATGAACAGACACCTCCCATAGACGAAGTATTCTAGCTGGGTAGTCGTCATAAAAGTAGGACTTTAAAATTACATTATCGATGATTTGCCATTAATCTTATTCCTATTAATAATCGATATCTGATATCGAAAACTTTATAGCAAAGACTGCGTGTCTTCAATGGCTTTACTTTCAATCTTCTAATGGCTGACAGTATTTCTAGCGTTACTTCCTTGTCGCTGTTGAATATTATTTTTATATAGTTTTGATTTCATTTGCATTTAGTCGGATACATTTATCAAATATAGAAGAGAAAGGGTTAAACAAGAGATTTATCCAGACTATCTTAGCAAACTTTGAATAATTTGACAATGGTTTTAGCCATATTTGTATTATAATTATTGATTGTATATTAATCAGAATGTGATCTGATAATGCACCTACCGTCTGTGAAGTTTAATCCACAGGATTATAGTATAGATGAATGTATCCGGGATATTAATAAAAAAAAATGAAAACTATTTAATTCCGTCACTCGAAATTATCAGACTTCAGATGCTTTCCTCATTAGCGTCATAGTGTGACGTATGACGTAAACATTAGATCATGAAAGTTGAAACCGTTTGATTTCAACTTTCGCCGTAAAAGATTAATTAATAAAATAGTCATAACAAACAATAAACCATTGCAACGGCAAGGAATCATACTTGTTGAGGTCACTGAGTTCAATACTGTTAAATAACAGTCTAGCTAGACTAGTCTATCTACAATTATAATCACATTGTTTCATAACACTCCTTCCATACATGTAAATTGCTAATCTTCAATACGAAAAAGAATTACTTTTTGTCCAGATTTTTTAATAGGCTCTCACAGTTCTTCCATACTTGAAGATTGTTTTTCTGCATCGTTGGCTTTGATAATTTCCCATAAATTTTCATTTGGGTTTCTCGGTCAGTCCAGTATTGTCAGGTTGATACTTTTCCAAAATACCTGATCAACCTTTAAACCATGGCATGCTGCACTAGAATTATGAACCGATAAATGTTCCTCTGCAGTCACAGTGTTTCTTGCTGCATTTCAACATAGAGCAAGAGACACCTTACATTATTCATTGTTGTTCCTGAAGTTGAATCCAGCTGTTACAGATTTGAAGATACACCGCAAAAAAATCTGGCTTAGTATTGGTTTCATAGTTATTTGGTTGTTTTGGTTTATGGCATATCAACCTCAGTGGATCATTTAATGCTAACAAAATTTTTTAAATAGATTCATAGCGATATTTTGGTAAAAAGGTGTGTATATATACATATATATATTTGAACCACTTTTCAATTACTCATATTTTTTAATACAATCCAGCTTCTTTTAGGAAATTTACAATCTTGGATGGTTTTATTTTCGTAAAAAGTATTTTTTTAAATTACTCACTTGATAATATTTTGTTTGCATTAGATCAAAATCTACACACTCTAACAGTATATATATCACTTTAAATTTTAATTATTGCTGATAATAATTTTCCCTTCAAAAATGATTGCTGGTAATAATTTTTTTTATTACAAAGTATTTCTCACTAGGTGCCCCATACTTTCGGCCTTGTGTCACTTCTGAGCTACGCTTGGAAAATCACTATAAGGCCATGGGGTCTTATAATGTTTCTGTTACCCAAAACAAACTGTTACAAAATAGATTCGTCTGAAAGTATGACTTTACTCGCCTTTATCTGTCCAGGTTTCATGTTGCTTAGCAAATTCCAGACCTTTGGATTTCATAGCTGTACTAAACTGTTTATGAGCCGTTTTGAATGTCTTTAGATGGAACCGAAAATTCAGACACCGTGGAGCTGTCACAGAACTGATATTTGTACCATTTTCAGGCAGCGTAGCATGTATCTTCTCACAAGAAATTGTTGGAGATCATATAGCAGTTTTATTCATCAAATAGTCATCTTTAGCTCTGGAACTTCCACTTTTGCCGTCGTAGCAAGATGTTCCAGACTGTGGCAAATTCACAACATCTGTGCGCACAGCCGTTTTACTGCAAAGTTGTTTTACATTAATTTAACGTTCAGAATAGCCTTGATTGCACAGAACCACAATATAGGCACTTCTTATAGATAAAAATGAGATTTTTTTGCTTATATTCTCAGCCTAATCACTACACAAATACTATCACAATGACAGCTAATTTGGCAATAACTAAAACGTATTTTATCATTGAAATCTCTGGTAAGGTAATGCAAATCAAAACGAAAATTACTTTGTTACAGCTAAGTGGCCTCAAATTTTCTTTATTGACAATATTTCGATGATTAAAGGTAGAAGATTGTTATAATTCAGTTTGAAAACTTCGTCACCATTTTTATCCCTTTTATTCAACGAGGATATTAAATCTTTTGTTGTTGATTGGGAAATTTAATTCACTTATTTCGTGCAACAACATTAATAAGTTGACGATATTTTTTTTTGTAAAATACAATGAATAAACTTGACTTAAACACCACAGAGAATCTTTTCAACTATCAAGATGGTTGAACTCCAGGAGAGCATCTCTTTCGAATTTCTTGGATTCTTGGACACACTGACATGTAGTGGAGTGAAAAGTTGGTTCGCTCTGGCTTGCCAGACAGTTATTCTCGTCAGAATCCCTTTTGAACATTTGTAAACCTACCACTCGTCTGTGCATTAAATACAGTTGCCATATCCAGTCCTCCTACTATATATTTCGAAATTCTTGACAAATTTCAAAGAAAGTTCTGCAATGTCATCTATCCCCACCTGGAATCTCGACTTCACTCACTTCCTTCTGTCTTTTCTATAAATATCTCCATCACATTTTTCGTAGTACCTGGACTGCCTGCATTTAAAATATGCTACTAGATTGGCAAATAGACTTCACCATTTGCTGTTGAAATAGCTAGATGCAAACTTCAATCCTAATAGTTACGTTTTTCGCATTTCTCACCTGTGTAAGTCCCTTCTGATTTCTTGCTTCCCTGCCAACTACAATCATTTAAATGCAACGTCTGTCTTTCTGACACCTGTATCTTTGTTTTCTTTTTCCACATGTCTTCTCACTAACGTCTTCTCATTCTCTTTTACTCCCTGTAACCATTCATATCCTAAAAAAAAATATATATAATTATGTAATTATGTAAGTTTCCATGTCTATGATTGAAACAAAGATAATTTGAATGTTTTTATTACAAGAATATCTGTATGATATCTTTTTTTTCCAATAAGGTATCGGATATGCGAACATCATTATCGGTTCCTACATGTGTATCTACTACAACATCATCGTCACCTATTCGCTGCATTACTTCCTGTCGTCGCTTCGTTCCGTCTTACCGTGGGCTGACTGTTCCAATCCGTGGAACACTTGTGCATGTAGAACAAACATCGTCGAAAACAACTTCTCCAGCTTCATCAACAGTGTTGCTGTGCCGTCGCTCGAAGACTTCGAAGGACTTTTCAATGACACCAAACCTCAATGCAGACGTAAGTAACTCCATGTAAATATTTGACAAGTTTAGCTTAGTGAGGCATCAAACGAGGGTAAAAGTAACTAGAGCAGACATGGTCTGAAAAAGGTGTTTGTTAACTATCAATCTACAACAGGTACACAATATAGTTCTTTTTTCAGGCTTGGGTTGCTATGGATACTAATGTGGCGCTACCGATAATGACTAATTTTAATATTATGGTATGGTCTATAAAACCGACTTATTAACTTAACACCCTATTGAATATAATATAACCATATAAAGACAAGTTAAAATTATAGGCCGTGAAACGAAGCTTGTTAAATTAAGGAGTTTGAAAAATATAAATAAGAAATTTGTTTAAATATTATCTATCAGAAGTGAAATCTTTTTCATTTTCAACAACTATGGCCGAACAGGAAAGTACTTTTTCGATTCCATGATTAAAAGGTTTATTTGTATTTTTTTTTCAGTCAAATATTTTAAAGAATATTATCAGATTCTTTTCCATTCAGAATGTTCTGCCACCTATGAAATGTTCGCCGGTAATGGGCGTTTAGCCATGCATACATACATACATATAAAGGGTGCGATGGGTAAATGACAAGAAAATGATAATAGTACTGACATCTCATGCTAACAGGTACATTTACCAAAATTACACAAAATTATCTTGAAATACTACAGAGTAAATCTAAACAATAATATCGTCATTAGCTTCAACCATGACCTCTAGACAACCTTGGAATCTCCTGTAACTCTTCTGGAGGATTTCCTTGTTTAAATATGTGAATGCTGCCATAATCATTGCCTTCAGTTAATTTTTGGTGTTACAAAGAGTTTTTTTTGTCTTTCCCCACACTTAATAAGGAAGTGGGTTGAGGTCTGGGGTGTTAGCTGGCCAGATGTAAGGGGTAAAACACAAAACAGTTATGAAAATTCTTGTAAAAATCAAATAGTTATAAGATTTTATTGAAACTTTTAGAGATTATTCACAAATGAATTAACTTATTTTTGGGATTTTTGAGAAACTCTTAATATATATATATATATATATATATATATATATATATATATATATATATATTTAGATATGTTACCTCGCACTTACTGAATATCATGAATTTTCGAGCAATGGTTTTATTAGTTAAAAGCTGGACTCCTTGGAGAATGTAAATCACCATTTTCTGCAAATTGCTAGCCATTTCCGGAAAATCTGTTCCAGATTGTAAAATAAAAAATGCAATAAAACAGACATTAACTTTTTAATTACTTTCATAAATAAGATTTAGTAAGATCTATTGGCATAGGAAAAAAAGATTTTCGATGAATAATGAATTTTTAAAGAATTGTTTTCATTTTATTTTTAGATTTAAATTATAATAATTTATATATAAATATTTAAAAATTTTGCATTACGTTGATTGCGTTAGGGGATATGGTTAAGTGAAAACTATATTTATTAATACAAAATTGAAAAGTTTAATACAAATCATCACGCACCAAGATTTTTAATTTTTTTATCTCTATAAAATTACCATTTAGAAAGTATGGGTGGCAATACACGACATTATTAGAAAAAAGATCGATTATTATAGTACATTTAAGGTCAAAATTCCTAAAATTGGATTACGCATAATATTTTCCAACATTTTAAAGAATACTGAGAACTTAAAAATTATATAAAAAAGGCGATATCTTCATTTTTAAATTATGCTTTAACAGATAAAGTCTCCGTAGAAAAACAATAAACTTCCCATCACCTTGTCATTATTCATCAAACACGAAAGCATAGCAACTGTTGGTTAAAAACACACCTACTGTTTTAAAAATGTATTTCTGTGCTATTTTAAACTTAAAGTAAATAATATTTGTTTGAAAATCAGATTAATTATAATTTAACTCGGCTAATATTCGGCAAATAAAGTTTCACAAAAATATATTTCATTTTTGGAAGATTTTTTAATACAGAGATTTACAGAGGGACGAAAGACGATTAAAAATGAACGCTGATAAGCAATTTTAGCAAAAAAAAAAAATCGATTCCAAACAATATAATTTCTTTTTTTGAAATACACGACAGTGTATTTTGCTTACTGGAAATAGTAAATTTAATCCTTTAACTTTCAATTAAAACTAAAATGAAGGCTTCAAAAAAGCGTTTTCATTTTTTGAAAATCATTTGAAATCTTATGTATCGCGAATTAGTGGAAACCCTACTTCAGAAGTAAATAGAAACCTAGTCTTAAACCGGAAGCAATGGATAAATCTATATTCCTGTTCAAAAGGCCAAAATGGTGTAATCTGCTTAGCTGATTTAATTAGAATTGTCTCTACCAATAATAAATCCTAGTAGGACTTCTAGTTCTCTTACGATCGCTTCGCTGTAGAAGTTAAAAATCCGGCGAAAAGATGCATCCTTATTTAAAACCCTTTCCTGTTTTTGTATTTATTTCCAACATATGTTGATGTAACTCGAGGCCGAAGGGAAAGTTTGGAAAGGTTGTCAATACTGACTATCCTATAGATAACTAATCTATCTCGCGACCCATTTATTCTTACAACCTTCTCCATTTGATACAACATCTACCACATTATCAGATATTTGCCGGGTTCCTACTAAAAACACCCATGATGTAATAAGTATAAAACATGTTCAATTATCATTACTGTTTTTGTATACTTACTCCATTTATTTACAATTCATTCGTCTGTTGCCAGTTTGCTCACAGTAAACGTTTTGGATTTTTTTGATATCATTTCGGCATAAATCAAGTTTTTAACAGTTCAAAATTCTTGATAAATTTATTTTCCCCTGAAAGGACGGCAAATATACTGATGTCAGAACTGACAATGATAAAAAAAATATACCTGTTTCCTACATACAACGTGTGAGAGCACGTGCAATACCCTGCCATCGTCAGCCACCAAACAAGGGAGATAACACAATTTCGGTGGCTGAGGCGGTACTGTTACCCCTGGCGCCACAAGCAGCTTTTGTCATCGGACAGGGTATTGTATATTTTTTTTGTGTGTGTGTGCACACGGATCTGCCTCTTGCGATTTATTTTTTTGCAACTGCAAGTTAGACTTTCAACGTTATGTTAAAAGCGTTTTCTTTTGATCGTTAACCAATACGCAATGCGCTCGTAACGACGGTTATCAATGGTGTATTTCAAGTCGTAAATAGCATTGTGCTACGAGCATGGGTTTAATTAACTTTGTTTATTTTGGATCTTGACCAGATCCAACTCGATGTCTGTTGAGCTGTGGTCTGGGGACAATGTGAAGGACGCTTCAGGCTCCAGTCAGTGACGCTAACTTTCAAAAAGAAGGAAACAATAAACAATTGCTGCAAACATGTCATATAGCATTTAATAAATTTAATACTTTTATGTCGCAGGATTTGGTTGATATGTCTGGCTATTCTCACAGTAAATTGGTTTTAAAAGCCGCAATTAAGCGCGACGAGACCTCATGAAGACTGGCCTTTGAATATTTTGAATGGTTCCATCAAATCTTGAAAGATGAACTACTTTCCACAAAACCCGTGCATTTAATTCAAATTATTTCCATGAAATGAAAGAATTGTCTATTGTTATCTTAATACTTATATTGGTAGCATTTAGATATATCAGTCGTTGAGCATGTGTGCTTATAAGCAAAAAAATGCACCCACTAAGTATATATATATATATATATATATATATATATATATATATACATTTTATGTTTATACATGTTTATCATTTTTTATAGATACAAATATTTAAGTAAATGATCTGTTTATAATAAACAGTATTAATAACATTTATCGGCTTGAATGTCCGAGAAATTTTCATAGAAAATATTCGTCCTCCGATAGGAATCGAACCTGTATCCTAAGGGCACTCCTTTAAATGCAAGGAAGGGAAAAATATTTTAAGTCAAGTGATAGCGATTGCTGTATGTGTCGTACGATTTTTGAATCAAGCACGGGCAACGCCGGGCCATGCTGTTAGTATATATATATATATATATATATATATATATATATATATATATATATATATATATATACTAGCAGCATTTTTTGCCCTTCCTTGCCGTTAAAGGAGTGCCTTTTGCCGTGCTGATATTGCTAGATGCCTTACTTCTTGCCTATCTCACACTGCAAATTTTTTCTAAGCACCGATTACCGATCCCTCCCTTTGATGCAATGGGAAGGCGCGACCTCGGGCAGCTGTTCCCCAGGGCTGGGCACCTCTTCAGTATTATTTTCTCAGTTGCCCCTCCGTTCTTAGACATAGAAGCCCCTGAGCGCACTCTGTCCAAGGACAGAGACGCAACTGAGATGATAAATAAAGCGCGTACACCCATCCAAGGAGGGAGAGCACGTTGCTCTACCCCGGGGCCTAGAAATCGCCTGTATTTATGTCGGCTGTGGTAGCATCGTAGCCGGTTGGCAATATCTTTTGGTTGATGACTAAAAATTAACTTCTGCCTTTTGACTGTACACATGGGTTTCATTTGGACACCATGTGTATTTAAAGTAGTTTCCGGTTATTATTTTTAGTTAGGAGGACTTGTGTATGTTTATATTTCATTTGTTTTACTTTTTGTGTATCGTTCACTGACAAAAAACGCTGAGTCACAGGAAGTTAACGGCATTCGGACGTTTGAGTAACTTCCGGCCGGGTGCAATATCATTACCCGTGCTTTCAAATTGATTTCGTGCAAAAACAATTTTTGGCGCTGTCAGAACCACCGCCAGGTAATTTTACGTAGTCCTGTGAAGTTTTGTTGAAATCGGTTGAAAAATGAAGGAAATCCGATCCCATATATAAACGAACACACACACACACACACACACACACACACACACACACACAATCTGCGTTTTATAATAAGTAAGATATATAGACGTTCTTTGTTAAGGTAGAAGATTTGTGTCCCTGTGATCCAAAGAGTGAAGCCATCTTCAATTTCAACCCCTGTAGGGCCACCCATGGTGGTAAGGTTGAGGAGGAGGAACCAGATTGAACGTGATC